CAAAGTCAGCAAGATGAACAAGGGACTTTGCTACGTAAGAAGAACCTCAAATGTTTTCTAACGTAGAATTTTTAATCGTGGAACGACTGTACCTACCTATTTAATTAAATATTGATAGAGAAAGGATATCAAAATAAACTACAATTAATTAGGAAAATAATATTATATGTTAAACTTACCATGAAAAATGTAACTGGTCGAGAGCATTCAATCGAAATACAATAGCATATGAAGTTGACACATTATAACCCAATTTCTACAGCAGGTGTTATATGCATGGGTAAATCAGAATTGATTACCAAGTACCATTCACCTCCGAACAGTCAAGAGACAGAATTTGATGTCAAGTGGGTCATTCCTGACCATGTTTTGGTATACTGATGGCAATAAACTAAATTTTTGTTTTGGTGTGGTTTCTACTAATTAAAACAAATTTTTACCCCAGTGTAAGTGACATTGGTGGGCATTAAATACCAGGCTCATCCCTTTGCAGATTGGTTCATATCCACCACTATTAACTCTACATAGGTGAATAATCATCAATAACTACAATACTTATTATTAATATTATTAACTCTTTAGGAAACTCTGATGGACAGAGATGAAAGCCAAAAGAACAGGGCCAGGTTGTTCAAAAGAGGGTTAAGAAAACCCAGGGTTAGCGTGAAATTTAATCAAAGATCTGAATGCTTTAAAATAATGTGATGACTGAATGCTCTAAAAAGAATAGGGAAAACTATCCTAAAACAGCTTTTGAACAGAGAAATATAGAAACCTGGATTAAAATTTAACGCTGGGTTAGCACTAATAGGTCTTCGAACAAAAGGGTCCAGGATGTTATTTATTTGATGGTTCTGTATATGCAGTATGTACATATGCTGTTATATGTTTTTTAAAACACCTTCAGCCGTAGTTGTCATCCAAAATGCAACTGTGCATGACTTAAAGAAGGCAATACAAAGACACATCTCACTTTAACTTTGCAGGGAAGCAGGCCCAAATGTTGTTTCTTGGTAAGTGGATTTGAGAAATTGAATCATGTTAATTGTACACACTATTTTCTATAGGCCAGTTGTTTTCATTTAATATTAATTAATATCTCCTTCCAATGCTAGCTTTCAGTCCTCTGTACACTTCCCACAAAAATAAACATCTAGGTAAATATTTAGCCAAATTCAAGATAGTTTAGAATGCAGTCTAATGAAAGAAAGGTTAAGTTTTGTTTAAAAAAAATGGCCCTATTTTTTTTACATAGTTTGACATTTCTGATTAATTTAATCAGATAGCCATTGTACACTGTACTTTCAAGATCAAAATATCAGTCTACTGCTTTGTGTGTGCTATGCATTGTTATGTTTTTGCACTCTGTAGCCTTGAACATTTGGTATTGAATCAAAGAACATACCCTAATTTTCTTTTCATCTCATTAGCTTTCTACTTGAAAACTTGTTGAATTTTTTAGTAGAACACTCATGCTTGTGGTGAAGGGCTATAAAATAAATAATTATTAACTTGACCTGTTCAACCTATATGCAAAGCTAAAACATCAGTCTAGAGATACAGAAATTGAAACTCCTCCAGCATGGATACCTACTATTAAAAAGCTTTAAACTGCTGATCAGTATGCAAGTGACTGGTGACAACTGAGATTTTACAACAAATTTCAGTTTGTTTACAAGCAAAACTCAGGCCAACTATTAGAAACTGAAAACCACTAGCCAAAACTAAATTTCCACTAGTCTGTGGCTATTTGCATGGCCACATGTACAGTTAGTGTTGAGTGCTGTAATTACAACTGCATGAAGACTTTTGTACTGCTAGTCACTTGAAATCTTCTGTTTNCGAAAGCGTTAAAAGCTCCTACACTGGGAAGGTGTTTGTCTTGTTTACAAACTTAACTCATTTAATATTGAGTGTTGTCCTAAAATCATCATCGTTTGTCAGTTGTATTCAACACTGAGTGATTGAACGCCAAGTAGTTGAAGACGTTTGTCTTAAAAATTTAACGCCCGAATGAGATGGTTTTTGGAGTATCCCTTGGTACTTTTTTGCCTGTTGTACTCCTTACGGTTCCAGTGATCTATCTTTCTCTCGTTTCTCAGCATCTTCATTTGTTATTTTCTGTTTCGCTACAGATTGATGGCAAAAAAATGGGCTTACCAAAACTAGAAGGAACTGTTATTCTTAACATAGGCAGGTTAGTGAAAGCTGGAAGTTAAAGTCAGTCAAAAGAATTCGAATCAGTGTTGCAGTGGTGAAATTCCAATTGAGTGGATTAAGAAAACAGATTAAAATCGGTTTCAAAGCGTAATTTTAAGATGCTCAGTTTTCATCCTGAAGTCAAAATAGTACTAATTTAGGTCAACATGATGTATTTCATTTCATTAAAATCTGATTCCTTTACGGGAACGAAGAACGTACAAAAAGAGGCCACTTTCGATATATCAAAATTCAAACTTGCCTTCCAGGATTGGGGGAACAAAACGAAGGAACAACATCGAGGTTGAGGGATGAATAATCAATTTCTTTAGTTGTATACCTCCAAGCCTCAGAGCCATGTTAGAATTTTATTCAATCGAAAATGGCCTAATTGTCTCGCGCCCATCATGTGACTTTGCAACCCAGCCGGGTGTAGCTCCCAGACTGTATCTGGCTGGGAGGCATGGGTTCGAATCTAGTTAAAGTTGAACTTTAAAGTTCTCTTTTCTGATTTTTCATTGGTAGCAGTTCAGGTGCCAGTATTGCTTTTATACGCGTGAGGGATTTTATTTTCATTTGTATTTAGTTTTCCCTTTAATTTTTTTATAATTTTTTTTGTCCGACTAGTTGGGGAGCAGGTACGGATGCATGGTGACCAGACAAAGAAGATGTATGTAATACGACTTGAATTTAGCATTGATCTCTGTCCTTTTTCATAGCACCAGAAAGCTTATGAACAAATCTTGACATCTTGTCCCAGGCAAGTAAGGTCTTTAAAAACACGCAGTCGAGTTAATCGCTATATCGGCCGACATACATCTCGGCCGATATATCAATCGAGTCTCAACCGAGTCTCGACCGAGTCTCAAATGAGTATCGGTCGAGTATCGACCGACTCTCGCCCGATATACCGACCGATATAACGTTTGAGAACACCTACAGTAAACATGATCAACACAGAAGTAATCACAAGGGCCAACCAGAAAAGACAAAAGTGCAAGTACATGTAGCCAACGAGAACACCATCATTTGTGAGTACGGATGTTGCAAATGACCAAAACGCGGTGGTTTGGGTTTTGTTCCTGATTACTTCAGATGGTGACTTGAGATATCTGGACCAATCACCAAGGAAAGTTAATAAACACAGATGTGATCCCGGATTCCTCTTCGACTCTTAATTGAGAATTGCTGACTCTGTGTGCAGGGTTATGCCTGAGCTTGTCACTGTGACGGTCTTGTAGAGGTAGTTGGACTTCAGGGTGTCATGCACATGGTAAGTCAGAATCTCTACCGGCTTTGCCTTTTATGCCCTAACATCAGCAGGTGGATTCTCTCCAATCTGCACCACGTGATGTTTCACTACTAACTGCCTTATTTTTTGTACCCAGCCTTGTCATTTCTTACGTATATGGATCGGAAACGTTTTCGTTTAGCAGTAAATATGAAGATGAGTTTTTTTTTTTCTTTTTTACTTATAGGGTCAAATTCAAAGTGGAATTAGGACTGGTATCCGACTGGCACAAGGAGCCCAGGTAAAGATTTCTGGTTGTAATCCAGTAAACAAATGAAGCCATAAGTGAGTTATTCTCTCTTATTGTTATCTTGTCATTTCTGGTTGTGACATTACCATGTTGGCGAAAAATGATTTCCACCCTTCCCCAAACCTATGTGTAACCGTACCCTCCCTTTCGTTTCTCCACGGGGCGGGAAGAGTACGGCTACGGCTACACGTGGGCTATTCTTTTTTGTTCCCCCCTGCGAAGAAAGAGCGCGAGCTCTGGTTTTCCAACATCGGCTAGGGAGTAATAAGGTATTTTGCCCAAGTAGCCAATAAGTATAGGTAATGACACGATTTCGAGTGCAGTTGGGTGTTAATGAGCCTGAGTAAATTTTTCAAAGACAGCAAAATTGCCCCAATAGCGTAGTTCCATTTTTCTGTATAGAAAATACACAACTCACAATTCCACCATTCGCTCTAACGAGGGACTAACCCTCGAAACGTCAGCTTCAAACACCCTCCACGGTGGTCAATTTATAATATCAACTCAGCTGATAAAATCAAATTATGTTGTAATATCCCCACCGACGCAGCAGCACAGTTTCTTTAGAAACTGACCCTCTTTATTCACGCACTTCGATCCTTTTTTATCCATTATTATGATTTTTACTACAGATAAATATCAAATTAAAATCAGAGATGCCTGTACAAATGGATGGTGAACCTTGGATGCAGCCTCCGGGTAATGTGATCGTGCGGCCCATACTAACACAGGTATTGTACAGAAAACCGTGTAATAACTTTGTTAAAGACTACTGGCCGGTGAAAATAAAAGGCTCGGATCTCAGTGATAGAGTTGCACGTGGGACATCCTGGAAACCAATTTAATCTTATCTTTTTTTTAGCTAAGAAACATATGTTTTCTTTTTCATCATTGACATCCAAGAATTCAGTTAAAGTTTATAACCAGACTACTTTAGTCAGAGTTCTTACTAAGAGATTTAAATATATATATATATATATATTGGTAGAACAAAAACGGCTAACGAACGCTTCTCGAAATAACCTCTCTAGTTCATTTTACTTCTTGTTTTCTTTAGGCACTGATGCTTTCAAAGAGAAAAGTTAAAGTGAACAACCTAAGAAGACCTTCAAGCTCGCCTCGTCCTCTGTCAAGCCCCAGCGTAACGAGAACTATTTTTTATGACGATTAAAAAACCAGTTTTCCCGGGCCTTTCCTCACGGAAGAAAATAAGTGACTCACAATTATAGCCCCTTCATTAGAAACTATACTGAAGATTTGTACCAGCTCCGATTTACATTTAACTTGTTTATCTTGCAAAGTTCATCTAGTAAGGTATTGTTTCAGCCGAGAAAATGTAATTTTAAATTTTGAAGAAAACTATTGTCATTTGTATAGCTCTGGGTGTACGCTGTCCTGCTGACGTCTTTAAATATAAATAGTTCAGACTGAAATACGTCTTCAGCAGGCGTAACCGCTCGAAGCTCTTCGATACAACTTACCTTTCATGACAGAGCTTAATAACGAAATGTTACGTCAAAGGTACGCGGTCAACAACGCAGGCTCAAGCATACGTGGTTTAAATTTTAGCGAAATTCGCGGAAAGAAAAAGGAGCTAGCATTTGAAACCGAGGCATTTTGTTGTTGTCGAAGACATTTTCCTATTTCCAAATTTTTAAAGGAGAAAATTAATTTTCGAAAATATTTTTAGGGGTGTCCAAATTTTTGAAGGTTTCTCTCTAAAAAAAAAAAAAGCGGTAAGGAAAACGAAGCCTCGAAGCAACAGAATAGAAAATCAACAAGGCAAACGACTCAAAATCAGTTTTTCTGGACGAGAATCTAGCGCGTGCGGATACGTTATTCAGTTCTGTTACCATTCGTGCTTTTGGACTCGATTCCTAGCCATGGCCATAATACTTTCATTGAAGTGGTATAAAGTAATTCAGAAACTGTGTCTCAGCCACACTCGGTCTTTCTCTACTCTGCTTGTAAAAGCGCAATGGCGTCGTAATCGACAATACGCGCTAAAGAACTAAACTCATACCATGCTACTCTTCAGTCATGTCAGAAGTACAAATTAAAGTGATAAAACCTCTGTCTTGAGGTGGAGTTCAAAGCTTAACTCACCCCGCCAACTTATACATAAAATAATTGAGAATTTCAAGAGAATTTATGTCCGAATATGTTCTAAAATGAATGTTGTACTTGTAATTATGTGTACCGAAAAGGTTACCTGCTGGAGATCCATTTTCAAACAAATAAACATTTGCGCCTTTAAATTTATTGGAATGTGTCATTATAACAAAATAGATTGATCTACCTGTGTTGCGAAGGAATTAAATATGTGAAATAACCTTTTCATGGCTTTTCTTTGGTCTTCTTTAGAGGCATAGCGGTTGTTGGGCTCGGAGAAGAGAGGTGACGCCTTTCTTCGAATTAAGAAACATTCAAACTGAATAATTAATTAAAACGAATGTTCGACATTATGAGTAATTCAAGGCCATTTACCTACCCTCTCACCCAGGCCATTTACCTACCCCCTCACCCAGGCCATTCACCTACCCCCTCACCCAGGCCATTTACCTACCCCTCATTATGAGTAATTCAAGGCCATTTACCTACCCCCTCACCCAGGCCATTTACCTACCCCCTCACCCAGGCCATTTACCTACCCCCTCACCCAGTGCGATCAAGGCTCGCTTAGGACAAGAGATACACAAATCATTTTTGTATCAGTTCACTTTAAGACAGGCCATTGTTACACATAATCCATACTGTGGATGAAATTGAAGCGAGACTTCGAAACTTCCGAAAGGGTAAACCATGAACGGACTCATGTGTAAGGTCTTTCAGATGCTTTATTGCTTCGTTTTACAGTTAATCTTAACTCGGTGCCATTTCCCTCTAAATGCGACTTTTACTTCAAAGTTATTCTTACTGTAAAAGTCATGTTTGATGAACACGTTTGAACAAAGCTTTCAAACAGTTTGAATACCACATAATACAATGAACTAGAATTCTCGATATGAGTTAAACAATGTAAAAATGAACTACAAAGTTTGACTTCAAAACGCTACCAAATACCTATTTTTGTGGTATCCAAGGACCTTTTTTCTTTTTTTTTGTGTTATGGTTAATATCAATAAGAATGACAAATTATGTTAAAAATGTGACAGACGTCACTGCAACTCCCAATGATTTTAATGTTCGCAAACGAGTTATAAAAATTCTAGAAATGAGCTATTTAGATCATTTGTATTCTATTGAAAAATATCTGTAACAACTGACGTCTTACCTGTTATATTTTCCTGTTTTTCTCCTCTTTTTTTTTTTGTGTACTTTCATCGGTTCTATTCATTTAGTTTAATTTAATCTATATGGCGTAAAACTCTCTCATGCCAGTTGTGGGAATGAACTATTCAAATTGTTCTTGTTACTCGTTACCCAAACATCTTTCTAATTTTTTTTTTTTTTATAATCTGCGCTTATGACAAACGTCGAATAATTGCGGAAATGACGTCACTCTGCCTTTAACTACCATAATGTTCTCATGGGAGTTACAAAAATTCAAGAAATTAGCTACTTAGATCATTTCATATCTACCAAATCTTTCATAAGTAACGTCTTTACCAGTAAGTTTTTCAATTTTTCTGCATTTTTACCTTAGTTTGTAATTTTCAACTAAAGATACTTGTGAAATGAAACAATTTGACACGTACGCTGTAAGTAATGAACTATTTACATTACCACCCTGCTACCAAAAATCTAGTGAATGATGTTTTGACCGGTACACTTGTCTAAGTCTTTCTTGTCAAATGTTAGATGATTCATGGTTCTCAATGATTAAAACGCAATCTGAGAGCGAATTACTCTTAAACGAGTTCAACAAAATTCTAGATATGAGCTATCTAAATCTTTGTTTTACTGATAAATCTCTGATAATTCTTACTAAAGCGCGTTGATGTTCTACTATTGTGATCGTATCATCAGCCCTTTTTGTTCTGTTCAATATTAGATGTATTGATCTAAATTTGGTATCAAGCAGAAAAATTCGGAAAAGAGAGAAGTAAAATTCTGAGATAGTCTTGACCCGTACATGTGTCTGAGTTGTTCCTGTCATAGATGCTTTTTCCTTTTCCGTTCGAATGAAAAGGAATTATAGGGTGAGTGATTCTCTCAAGTGAGTCGCATTTGCGATTTTGATCATGTGTAAATGGAATTTGCGCACTACAAATATTAAACTGTTATTATTATTATTATTATTATTATTATTATTACGAGTCAAAAAACATTCTTAAAATGAGCTTTTAGATCATTGTTATACTGCCGCTAAGATTTCTCATAATTGATTTAACGGATTTCCCCCAATTAAATTCTAGGTGTTTGTTCAATATTTGCTTGTCTGTTTTCTAAACTAGAGATACCATTGAAACTGAACTTTCGAAACTTAATTTAAGCGTTAATTAAACATTTGCTTCGGTCAGCTATGAT